GGTTGCTTGGAGAAACTGAGGGATATGGCAGCAAACCGACAACGGTGGCGTTCGTGAGAACTTATGTATGTCGGCCTCACCCCATTCCGCTATACGACGATGATGACGGTGTTCATCTCAGAGTTCGATCTGATTCCTGAACTGCGTAAGTGTCAAAGCGTTAGAACTTCTATTTTTCATACCTCCTCTCTCACAAAGCATCCTATCCAAACGGTATTTCTGCCAACCTCGTTGATAAGGGTGATATCAAACTCAATCACTTCAGTATAGCCGGGGTTGCTACCACAATAACATCGAGGAATGAGAAAGCCCCGCAAAATTAAGTAAGATTTCTAAGAAGAACAACTCCTCAAACTCCAACAGTTATCACTAGTTCGTAAGTCCTTCTATTGCCAAAAGCTGCGGGATATTAATCGCTTACTACTTGTTACTTGGGGAGGATAAACCGGTATCATGAAGTTGGGTATAAGAGAACTTACCAGTGTCGCCTGCCCGTTAATTTTGAGGGCGCACCTCCAGTCTTTGCAGTCAAGTGCGGACTGTAAGGTGACTCTTTGGGGGCTCATTCAATGGGTGTGGCTTCAGTCTAAGGACCTACTCAATCTCGTTGATCTTACAGACTTCAGTAAGAGCAGGTGATGGGTCTTAGTGGCTAGGGTAGGGTCCGCCTGCTCACGCCGTGAACCATCTCGCGGGGGTATTCGGTTTAATTTACCATCAATCTGGTTTATTCCACCTGTTGACCGGCTTCGCCGGGTACGATCGCTAAGGAACGCTTTAGCTTCTTGAAATGATGGTGATGAAGGACATCCTAGATGCTACTGCTGCTGTCAGAAGATTCACTGACCGACTCCGTGTTGGGGTAAAACAAACCATTTGGTGGTCACAATTTTTAGTTTCATTGAATTTACCTGTATCCTGTTGACATTTTTCACTAGCCCGCAGTTCGCTGTATCGAAATTCACGGGAATGGTTTTCGATCGAAAAACCTGATGACAAATCATTTCAGTAAAACCTCGTGTTTACTTCTTCCTTGGTCCTGCATGGTAATCTCTGCAATTACATCTACTTCCGAGTAAATCGGAAAGTAAATAACTTAAGCAAATGCTCGTCTCATACCTTCCTCCACCAGTTCTATATCAGTACTATACCTTGCATCTTTCAACCCCGACATAGCCATTGGAGAAAGAGCATTGGCAAATAATTCGAATGGTCGTGTGAACTGACAGGAGCACACTCTGAGACTCCCTGTCTGCACCGCTGTCAGTGGCACCGAAAAAGGATTGATATTGTCTAAGTCGACCTTGATTGTACTCTAGCCTGGAGAACTGTGAACAATATGCAATTGGGTATGGCGAGTATCTCCTCTAGCATCTTAAAGCTAGTACTTTTGTACGAATCTTTGTTGACCACTAGGCCAAAAACGATCTGCGATATGTCGATTGCATTCACACACACATACGAACAGATAATTACATTACCCCGGGCAATCTCGCTAGTAATAAATGTCGTTAGCCTCAAAAAGAACAGCCCAACTGCCAAAACGCTAATTCGATTGTTACCCAACGAACGACTTCTACGGTTTCTGCATGGTTATAAGTGTCTGTATTGGATCATTAGTGGTTACCCCTCCCATGGATTTTGAGAAATGTTCCCTAACAGTTGAAACTCGAAAACAGTCTCCTTCGTGGAATCCCACTCACTGCCTTCGCCTGGTGGATATTTTTTCATCAAAGTGAGAAGATGAAAAGTCAACATTCAGGAAACTTTTATTGATTAACTTTATTAATTCATTCCATCAATTGCAGTGGAAACCCCATGGGTGGTAACATGTGAGCCCCCATCGGAACTGGAAGTACAAAGCTGTATTCAATCATTAAAGAAAGGGAAGACTACGGTACCTGATGGGTTTCTCTCTATTCTTTTCAGGATGGGCGGTAATTCTCTTGTCGAATCGATTACTAGCCTACGTCGTGACAGTTTATCGGAGGAGCGTAGCCCTTTGTCCTGCGGTGAATCGATGATCGTCCCTATTTTCAAGAAGGGATCACGCGACGACTGCGCTAACCACCGTGGGATTAGTTTAGTTTCGATAATGACAAAAGTGTTGACTTTTGTGATACTTCGCCGCCTGACACCCTGAAGGGAGAGGAATATCC